TTTTTAGTAAGATTTTAATGAGGCATGTTTCTTGTACAATGGATATTCAAGTACGATTGTTATAAAATAATGAATGTTCACATAAATATTCATATGCTTTTCATATTTTCACTATTTATAATTCTTAATGTGATTTAATTCACCATTAAATATGAAAAATTTAAAGGATAATACAATTGATTTAACAATTTATGTACTTTTAATAGTTCATAGTCCCTTTCAATTCTCTTTCTACTCCCGAAACTTATAAATAAGCCTAATTGTTCATTAGTTTGTGTATAAGTATTTTATAGAGATTGAGAGAATTGTTTGGAGTTATTATCTTTTGTGTTCTTTTTATTTCATAGTAAAATTATTTCTCCAACATTTTTTGTCTTCAATTTTATTTTTATTATCGCTACTTTATAACAAAGCTACTATATCACTTTTTTATTATTGGAAAAAAAATGTGTTGTGTGTGGCTTGAATTTTATGGGCCAATGATATATTTAGTCCATTAGGTTTTTTCTTTTACAGGTATGAGGTGTTTAAACCTTCTTATGTCTCCGTTTAGGAAATAGAGTACAAGACAAAGACTTTGTATTGAGCCTCTAAGGTTCTTGTATTCTCCTATTATCAAGCTAATAAAACTTCCCTCTCATCCATAGAGTAGATAATTTATTGAGCCACATAAATTCTATGTGTGTTGATAATTTGTTTAGCTTTATATTTTAATTATTATTTATCATTACTTATCTTATTTTTGTTATTTATCATAACAAACCGGTATCAAAGCGTAGGTTGTGCATCTTTGGGTTTTTACGTTCGTAATGACAACTTTGAAATTTGATGTTAAGCCTTTTGATGATCAAAATAATTTTGGCTTCGTAGAGGATGAAGATGAAACTTTTGTTATGGTGTGAAGGTTCTATCAATCCAATTGAGGGTATATACATAGATGACATGTCTTCCGTCAAAATTGAAAAGATGGATGAAAAGGCTCATAGTGCTCTACAATTATCATTATCAAACAAGGTACCGTGAGCGATCACGAGATGAAGAGACAACAACGGGATTGTGAAAGAAGTTGAAAAGCCTCTACATGAAGAAATCTCTTACAACAAGATTACATTTGAAGCAATGTCTTTATACACTAAAGATACGAGAAGGTATGTCTATTCATAAACACCTTGATGAATTCAATAAGATTGTTATGGATATGAAAAATATTAAATTGATGAAAAGATTAAGCTCTTATTATATTATGTTTGTTACCTACTTCATATGAAAATTTTGTTAATTTAATATTGTATGGTAGAAAGCCCATAACTTTAGAGGATGTTAAGGCCTCTTTGAATTCTACTAAGTCGAGGCATAAGCTAAATGGTAAAGCCGTTGATAGTCGATCGATGGTTTACTAGTAAGGGGAAGATAAAAAACTAGAGAGGGTTATAAAGGAAGACCCAAATGTCGTTCTAAGTCTAAAACACTCTCGGATAAGAAAAACACTCGTTGATTGCTTCTATTATCACAAGAAAAGACATTATAAATTAGATTCTCCAACTTTAAAGAAGAAAAAGAAACCATATGATCAAAGTTTTGAGTCTACTAATGTGATGAAGGCTACTAATATTAATGGCATTAAAAATGTTCTTCGTTGTATGTCCTCTAAATGATTGTTTTGATCAAGAATAGATTTTAGAAACGAGATGCTTCTTATCATATGTGTCTAAATAAAGAGTGGTTTACCACTTATGAACTCGTAAGTGGTGGCTTTATTCGATGGGTAAAAATTTAGCTTGTGAGATGAGTCGATATTGGTATAATTCGTATCGGGTATCATAATTTGGTTATGAAGACTTTAACGAAAATGAGACATATAACGGATTTAAAGAAGATCTAATTTCTTTAAGCTATCTAGATTCAAGAAGTTATAACTACTCTAGTAAAAGTGAAATTCTTAGGGTTTTTAAGGGTTCCTTGGTTATGATGAAAGCAATCAAATTAATTGTCTCCGTATATTATAAGATAATATAGTAATAGGCTCTATAGGGGTGATTACTTCCTACTGCGAAAAGGAAAGGACTCAATTATGGCATATGTGTCTAGGTCCCATGAGTGAGAGAGGTATGACTAATATAAGTAAACATGGTTTGCTTTATGATGATTAAATGACGTCACTTGATTTACGTGAGTATTGTGTCTTAGGAAAGCAAACTAGAGTACGGTTCTCTATTGGCACTCATTCTACAAAGGGCATACTTGATTACATTCATTCAGATTTGTAGGGATCATCTCAAGTTCCATCCAAATGTGGTGCACTTTATTTTTTGACATTTTTTTATGATTACTCTCGGAAGATTTGGGTCTATTTTCTCAAATATAAAAGTGATGTTTTCAAAACCTTCAAGCAATGAAAAGTTCTAGTAGAAAATCAAACATGAAAAGAAGGTTAAACGTCTTGGAATAGATAATGGCTTAGAATTCTATGGTGGAAATTTTAATGAGTTTTATACAAACTTAGGGATTGTCCGACATCGCATATTTAGACATACTCCTCAACAAAATAGGGTGGTAGAGTGCATAAACAAGACTTTGATAGAGAGAGCTAGATGTATTCTCTCTAATTCGGGTTTGGAGAAGGATTTTTAGGCTAAAGCAATTAACACGACTTGTTACCTTGCTAACCATTCTCCCTCTAATGTCATTGATTATAAAACTCCAAACGAGGTATGGTCAAGTAACCATAGTGATTATTCAACTTTAAAAGTATTTGGATGTCCCCTTATTATCATGTTAAAAATGGTAAACTTGAATATAGAGTAAAGAAATATGTATTTGTTGGCTCTGCGAGGGGGTGAAAGGTTATCATCTATGGTGCCTTGAACCCAATTCATCTAAATTCATTACTAGGAGGGATATTATTTTTAATGAGAAATATATGTTTGATTAAGGAAAGGTTGTTTGTGAATCTACGGGAAAGAGTGAGAAAAACATGGATAAGGTGGAGCTTCGGGTGGAGTTTAAAAAAAAGACTCCTAAAAAACCATCCCTAGATATATCCCCTACAATTGTAGACATATAACAAAATTCAGTTATGAATGAAGATGCCACGAATCCGATCAACCTTACTCAATAGCTATTGGTCGAGAGAGGAGATAGATAACACTTCCCTAGAGACATACTTATACCGATCTAGTAGCCTATGGCCTTACTCGGAGTTGAGACAATGAGTATTCATGAGCCTTCTACCTATAGAGAGGTAGTGATTTGAAAAGAGAGGCTCAAATTATATGAAGGAGAAAGACATAACCGTGTGAGTTTTCTTCTTTCTTTCATGCTTTATTCTTTTGCTCGTGTGAAGCACTTATCTTGTACTCATATGCCTTGAGCCTTTGTTTGTGCATAGTGGAGTATTGTTGGAGAGAAGGAATTTTGTTAGTCCTAATGTTGAAGTCAATATTTTCTCTCTTCACATCTCTTATTTCTTACATTGAGTTAGCTCACGTAAGCTTAAAGGTGTGTTTTGAGAAATTATTTGATATTCTTTAAGGTTTGCGAATTCAAGATAAGGTGGAGATTTGTTGTGTGTGGCTTGAATTTTATGGGCCAATAATATATTTATCCCATTAGGTTTTTTTTTTTAATAAGTATGAGGTATTTAAAAATCCTTATGCCACCATTTACGACATGGAGTAAAAGATAGAGACTTTGTATCGAGCCTTCGGGGTTCTTGTATTCTCTTATTATTAAATTAATAAAACTTTCCTCTCGCTCGTATAGTAGGCAATTTTTCGAACCATGTAAATTACGTGTGTTGATAATTTGTTTAGTTTTACTTTTGATTATTATCTCGTCATTACTTGTCTTGTTTTTACTTTTTGTCATAACAAAGTGCATGCATGCTTGGCTACTTCTCATGTTTGCAAACAAAAAACATTAATTGACTCTTCCTTTCTTTTCTCTTTACTAAATTTTTCTATATCTCATGCCTAATTTGTGTTGTGTTAAAAAAATCATATCTTATTTAATTTTTCACTAAACATTTTAAGTTTTTAAGATTGAAATAAATTTTTTTTCAATATCCTTTTATTTTTCTCCCGTGAATAACAAGCATTCAAATCGGTTGTTAGCAAATTCATGAAGCATCTAGGAGAAAGCAGCAGGCTAGCTCGTGAAGAAATGGTGTATTTTTCTTTTTCCGCATTGGAATCGAGTTTAATATCTAATTGATCAAAACTCCAAAGAATGAATCAGCAAACTGAACATTTATCTAACACGAGAAGCTGTTAATTACTCGATATTAATATTATTCTTATCACGCAGCTTGTCGATAATATACAAGGAACAAATATCCATAGTCATACTTAAGTTATTTTCAGCAATTTACTGGAAAATTAATTAATACTTAAAAGTTGTAACCTCTGAAAACTTGTGAAGTAAATAGGAATAACATATTTTAGGGTTTTTTTTTTTTTTTTTTAATCCTGACACTCCCTCAGAACTGTCTTATGTGCTTAAACATGATCCAATAAGTTGAGCATATCGTTTATGCGTATGTTCGAATGTCATGGTTTGCTCTATTTTTAGCTCTCAAAATATTGTCGAATGGACCAGTTGTCTTCTTTACAATTCGAATTATTGTTAAAAAAATCTATAAGAATACAGCAGATGCAAATTACTAATATTAATTTAGACACAGAGGACGAGCTATGCTCTTAAAAAGAACAATAAACCAGTTGGCAATGGAGCTACATCCGATGATACAGAAAATTTATTGCAGCTTCGTTCTGACAAAAACTAGCGGCATTACCAATTGCTAATGCAGAACGTTTGGACCGACACTTGTTCGTTGTTAACAAGTCCTAACATGTTAGCTTTACCACTTACTGAATGCCGGCTACCGTTGATACCAATAGAGTACAGACATTCTCTTCCATCCTCACTCTCTCTATATAACGTGTCATATTTGACATTGTAGTCAATCAAAATATCCAGCACTTTCTGATTCTTTTGCTAATATGGAGAACTGGAGGTGCACGATATTTCTAACCATGTTGGTTACAATCCTCCTCGTTCCCACTTTCGTATTTAGCTTATCTCCAGCTATTACTGATCCAATAGTTCTTTCATCAACCAGTAGCGGCATTATAAACCAGGACAGCAAATTAGAAACTTACATTGTCTTCTTAGAAAAACCAGAAGGCATGGAGTCTGCAAAACCTGAAGATCTAGATAGTTGGTATCAATCATTTTTACCAGCAGTTACTACCTCCAGCTCAAACCAACAGCGATTGATATATTCCTACCACAATGTGGTCACAGGGTTTGCTGCAAAACTTACGAAGCAGGAAGCAAAGGCTATGGAAATGAAGGAAGGATTCATGTCAGCCCGACCCCAGAATGTTTTGAATGTTCAAACAACTCATACTCCTGACTTCTTGGGTCTACAGAGGAATTTGGGATTTTGGAATCATTCAAATTATGGCAAAGGAGTGATAGTTGGAGTCTTGGACACCGGAGTAACACCAAACCACCCTTCATTTAGCGATGAAGGAATGCCTCCTCCACCTTCAAAATGGAAAGGGAAGTGTGAATTTAACGGTACCTTGTGTAACAACAAGCTTATTGGTGCACGAAATTTCTATTCTGCTGGTAAACCCCCAACTGATGGCCATGGGCATGGGACACACACAGCAAGCACAGCTGCAGGAAGCCCTGTCCAAGGTGCGAGCTTTTTCGACCAGTACAATGGCACTGCAGTTGGCATAGCATCATCAGCTCACTTGGCAATATATCAAGTTTGTAGCGAGTTTGGTTCTTGCTCGGAAAGCGACATATTAGCTGGAATGGATGCCGCAGTGGAGGATGGCTGCGATGTGCTTTCACTATCCCTTGGTGGTCCATCACGTCCTTTCTATGATGATTCAATTGCAATTGGAGCTTTTGGTGCAATTCAAAAGGGCATTTTCGTGAGTTGTGCTGCTGGGAATTCAGGTCCCTCCAACGAGTCATTATCAAATGAGGCACCATGGATCCTAACTGTAGGAGCAAGTACCGTTGACAGAAGCATAAGAGCAACAGTAATGCTTGGAAATAACGCTCAATATGATGGGGAATCCTTTTACCAACCTAAAAATTTCTCTTCATCATTGTTACCACTTTTTTATGCAGGTTCCAATGGTAATGAATCAGGTGCATTCTGCGATCCTGGGTCCTTGAAAGATGTCGATGTCAGGGAAAAGGTTGTGTTGTGTGAAAGAGGTGGATTTTCAGGATTAATTGATAAAGGCCAAGTAGTGAAGGATGCTGGTGGTGCTGCAATGATTGTCATGAATGATGAGGTTTCTGGCAATGTTACCACAGCCAGTCTCCATGTATTACCGGCATCACATGTTAGTTATGCAGATGGATTGAGCATCAAAGCCTATATAAACTCAACAGCATCACCAATGGCCACAATACTTTTTAAAGGCACTGTTTTTGGTGTCCCATATGCCCCCCAGGTTGCTACCTTTTCCTCCAGAGGCCCTAGTTTGGCGTGTCCTGGGATCTTGAAACCGGACATCTTAGGTCCTGGTGTTCTCATTCTAGCTGCTTGGCTTCATCCAGTGGATAACAGAGCGAATACTACGCCCGGCTTTAATGTGATCTCTGGCACCTCAATGGCTACTCCTCATCTTAGTGGCATTGCAGCACTGCTCAAGAGCTCACACCCTGAATGGTCACCTGCAGCCATAAAATCTGCAATCATGACTACTGCTAATTTAACCAATCTTGGAGGCATGCCTATTACTGATCAATTCTTTGATCCAGTTGATGTCTTTGGCATCGGTTCAGGCCATGTTAACCCAACAAAAGCAGATGATCCGGGACTTGTTTATGACATCCAACCTGACGATTACATTCCTTACTTATGCGGTCTTGGTTACAATAACACAGAGGTCGGAATCATCGTGCAGCGCCCTGTGACATGCTCAAACAGTTCAAGCATACCTGAAGCACAACTAAACTATCCTTCATTTTCTATAAAATTGGGTTCTATTCCTCAGACATACACAAGGACAGTAACAAATGTTGGCCCTTCTAAATCATCTTACATTGCTGAGATCAATTCACCACAAGGTGTTGATGTTAAGGTAACACCTAGTGGGATTCAATTCGGCGGGGGAGATCTGAAAGCAACATATTCAGTGACATTTACTCGAACCGCCAACGTGAACGTGCCATTTGCTCAGGGATATCTGAATTGGGTTTCTGCTGATCATGTTGTTAGGAGCCCTATTGCTGTTATTTTTTAATAAGAAATTCATTAGGGTCCTGATCATGAAATCTGTTCTTTCTGGGCTCTTTCCTGGTGGTGGTAGGGAGCTTACCTGTCTTTCATTATGACTTTATGTGAGCCACCTTATAGGATTATCAACTTTGAATAAATTGAAAAAAAAAAAAAAAACAACAACCTACCAACTTGTCTGAGTTATCGATTTTCTTCCTTTTGTTCCATACATTTTTTTTAGTGTTTTTTTTTTTTTTAATCAATTGGACTAATAGTTTTTTTCAAAGCAACCATTATAGGAAGACTAACCTTTCTAGTTTCTACCTGGGAGGGATGATTATTTAAACAGAAGACAAAAACAATTTTGGTGTCCGTAATTTATCGGAATCTCTATTTGAGTTCGCATACTTTAAAATTTTCTATTTGAGTTTTTATTCTATTTGAAAATGATCAATCAAATACATTTTATTAAAAATACCATTCTCATGAGTATTTAAGCTATCGATCAAGAATATTTTAGAAATAAAGGTACTTGATGTTTTTATTTTTAAATGAAAGGAACTTAAATATAAAAATTAAACTCTAGGAATTCAATAAGAAATTTTGATAAAGAGGCACTAAATTATAACCGTGTCATTTTGTAAAGGTTAAAATCACTTGCGATCTTTCATTGATGCAATTGAATATTTATATACATGTTACATGAATGTTATGTACAAATATAACTAACATATTATATTAGGATTCAATCTCTTATCCTTTATCTATTAGATGCTTTATCCTTATCATGCCCCCTCAAGTTGAAAGGGTCCGGCACAAACTTTGAACTTGTCCCAAAGAAAAATGAAGTGGGTTTTAGACAAGAGCTTTGTAAGATAGTCTTCTAGTTGATCATGAGAGGAGATATAGTTAACAACCAACTCTTTGTTGGCAACTTCATCTCTCACAAAGTGGAAGTCCAATTCCAAATGCTTGGGGCATGAGTGATAGACAAGATTGACAATTAGATAAGTAGCACCAATATTATCACATCATAAAGTTGAAGTTCAAATAGAGTGATGAATTTCTTTGAAGATGGACTAAACCCATGTCGGTTCAAAAATAGTTGCAACTAGAGCACGATATTTAGCTTCGATTGACAATTATGAGATAGTGCATTGCTTTTTTGAACCCCAAGAGACAAGATTATTGCCAAAAAATATTACATAGCCTGTGGTTGATTTACGATCATCAACATAGCCTATCCAATCCACATCGAAGTATGTTGGTGTTATCCAAAGGTCATGGAAAACGGTAGACTTCAAATAACATAGGATACGTTTGATTGTTGTCCAACGTAAGTCAATTAAGGCATGCATGAATTGAGACACCTTGTTGACTCGCAAAGGAGATGTTCAATTATGTAAGAAATAGGCATTGCAATCCTCCAACTATAATTCAATATATAGAAGGATTTGGAATGGGCCCTCCGTATTGAATGTATAATTTTTTTGTTGGAGTGGTTGGTGTGGAAATAACATTACAATCTTGCATTTGAGCCTTGTAAAGTAAGTATCGGATGTATTTAGACCGTGTTAACACAAGTCCATGATTGTGCCAAAAGGCTTCAACACCTAGAAAATACTCTAACTACCTAAATCTTTCAACTTGAATTTTTATAGAAGGCAATTACGAAGGCAATTAATGAGGTGGATGCTAGCGGTATTGATGTCACCGAGTGAGGAGTATGTCATCAACATACACTAGATGATATAACAAAATCCCATCATGAATGATATAAAAAAGAGAAGCATCAACTTGAGACTTGATAAACCCATTTTGCGAGAAGAGCATTGGCTAGACATTGATACCATTTTCTAGGTGCCTACTTGAGACCATAGAGAGAGAGTTGCAGCTTGCATAAATAGTGAGGGTTATCTTTGTCAAGGAATCTTGGACGTTGCTCCAAGTAGACATCATCATCTAAGCCTCCATGTAGAAAAGCCTTTGCTATGTCTAGTTATCAAACCTTCTAATGAAATGCAATAGCCAAGGTAAGGATTAGTCGACGAGTAGCGGGCTTAGTTATTGGTGAGAAAGTTAGGATAATCAACTCAAAGTCATTGATGAAAACCCTTAGCCACTTGATAGGCTTTATAACGGTATATATGTTAATATAGGTTCCCAAGATCCAACCTTATTTGGATGGATTTAACTTATTATATTATTGTATTATTTATAATAAAAGAAGTCTTTTTATTAATTCTTATCATTTACATTTATTCATTGAATAGAATTAGATAGAAGTCCATATGATATACATTTGTATTAGTGATTGATTGAAAAATATGAGACAAACACTAATATATATAAATGATATCATTAAACGTCCTAAGTCATAGCATGGTCTCATAATGGACATCGACTATATGCGGTAAAACTTATGAGTGCTATGCTCATGCTAGAAGATAGTAATAGGAGATCTCACACCTATTGGCATGGTGATGCCAAAGCAAGCACTTAGGTGACTTATGCAAGAGAACATGTCACTAGACTTGATTCATCGTGAGAAATCATTTGGTATAGTCTATGAGAATCTCATATGAGATGGGTGCAATTGGTCCTTACACTTGCATTCACCATGGTTTTCTCATTGGAGGATTTATGTACTTTGACACTAATTTTGATCGACAAAGTGAAGGGTTACACGTGAGCGATTTATTGGGTACACTAGGAATCTAATGGAGTAGGTGAATGACTAAGATAGGACATGTCATTCCTTGTATGCTAACAGAGTTATCACATTATACTTTGATGAATGTCTACTTAAGAAATCTATGGTCATAGTAGGAGTACACCAATAGAGCATAGTTGGTTTACTATAAGAGCTAAAACATTTAGGAATTAAAGAAAACTTTTATGATCATGATCGAATAAGACTAATAACCAAGTTCGAGATCACATCGTGATAAGTTGACATGAGGACTAAATTGTATGATAACCATGCTCTTGAAAGGTAATTACGGATTAATTAATTCTCCTAGAGAATTTGGTAGTCATGATGTCTTGCTAGAGATCAATCTTGATTTAAGTATCAAGAGATAAAATAGTGTCTTTTACTCTTGATATATGTTAACATATCTATAAGCCTATTGAGTCATCTGGATAAGTTGAAGTATTCACATGATTAAAGAGAAGCAAAGATGTTCGAAAAGGTTTTCAATTTTAGAAAGGTTTTCGAAAATAAAAAGTTTCCTAAAATAGAAAGTTTTGCTAGTTTAGAAATTTGTTTTCTAATTTGGAAGTTAGTTCCAAATTTGGAATGCATAACCTAAAATGAAAATTAGTTTCCTAATTTAGGTTTAAGGGTATTTTGGAAAATTATTTCTTAATGTGGGCTTTTTAAAATTATCTAACTTAATTTATTTGGATAGTCCAGATTAATTAATTGGGTTAAAATAATTTTAGGCCAATAAGTTTAATTAAAATCTCGAAAGATATTTTGGTGGGAGGATAAAATGAACCTTATTGGATAATGATGAACATTTTAAAAATAAAGATAAAAAAGCTCACATGTAAAATAGCTCCTAATCCTTGAAATATTAGGAAACAATAACCAAGAGTCCAATTAGGACTAGTTGCTACCCATCCTTATTCTTGGAGGATAAGAAAGCCTCTCTCTTACATACATGGGAGAGAGGTGCGACAAACAAAAAGTTTTTTTTTTTTGTTTTAGAAAAGAGAAAATTTGGCATAAAGAAAAATAAAGAAGGCACATGGCATCAAGTAAAAAAATAGAGAAAATAGTTTTCTCCTAAAAAAAAAACTCTAGCACACACCATCCCTCTCTCTCTCTTTGGGTTGTCATAAAATTACCCTAATTAGATTTCTATAAGAAACACTAAACAAGTCGGAAAAGGTGGAGCTAACACTCTATCAATTTTGAGTGCTTCTTTTGTGGGTGCTTGGACTATGTGGATTATCGATGAAGGCTAGATACTTAGACGACTCTTTTCTATGAAAGTTTAAATCTAAACTATAAGAGGTAATTCTTATTTAAAACTTTAATTTATGAATATATGATTAGTTGATTCAACGAAATGATATTGGACACTTTAGATGGAGAAAATTTTTGTTTTATGTCGTACGTCTATGGGATGCATGATCCTTCAATATATTGCCATCCATTTTTTACCTAATACAAAATATTTATTTGCATCTAATCACGTTATGACTAAAGTGCATTGGAACCAAAACCTATATGTTGTAAGGCATTGATTCCTCTTGCATGGCTTCTCTCCATTTTAGAAATTTAATTGCTTGTGAGAATGAGGTATGAGTGATATATGCTTTGGTTACTATCAAAAAAATTTTAGGTTTGAGGTCTCTCGTTTTTTACCATGTTATCATTAGGTGAGTGGAGCTATGGGCGGGTGGACAAGTTTGAGTAATAGGTGGTGGTGGGTGGGGACATGGTTTGTTGGTAGAATGTGTAGGCATATTAGGAGATGGCGGGTGTAATACATGTGATGTGGGAGATAAGGATAGAGGGCTATCTTGGACATTTTGATTAGCATGTGAGGCTTATAAAGATAGAGTAGTGGCGGATTGTATATGGTTATTAGGAGTTGTTTGGTGTTGTTCATGTTGGATGGAAAAGAAGTGTGGAGAGCTAGATTCGACGAGCATGGACTTATGGAGATATACCCGGGATGCTCGATCTAAGATATGGGGATTGTATAGTTGCTAAGGGTAATATGATGATAATGGTATTAGAATTGTTGGAATTGTTGATAAGAGAGCAAGCATTAGGTTTCACAAGAAAAGAAAACACCTGTTCAATAAAGATTACATGGCGTGAGATAAAGATATGATTAGAAAGCATATCAAGATATTTATAGCCTTTGTGGAGCTTACTATAACCAAGAGGAACACATCTACAAGAGTGGGGTTCTAATTTATTTCGAGAATACGATTTTAACCATGGATAATATAAGGAGCCAAAAACAAACAAATGATGAAGATTAGGATATAAGCCAAATAAAA